TCACGAAATTATACCAAAATAAAATATTAAGTAAAAGAAGTAAGTTGTCAAAAATTTGGCTCAATTCGAGTCTTCTAACATATAGAAAAAGGGAAACGAAATATTACCATAAATAGTAAAAAATAACTTAAAATTGAATTTTGGAAAGGAAAACAGTGGATTTTGGGCTCGAAATTGACGTCCACAAATTATCAAAGACGTGTCAAATTCTCCCAATCAAGGAAATAATTGCGATTTACTTTTCATCTTTGTGCTGATCCGCCATCTCATGGTATGTCAGCGCCATCATCGTGCTATCTGACAAATCAGCATCACTCGACTCGAATCCTCCTGCATCAGTTGCCTCGAGTTCGAAAGAACTCGCCCTCGAGTTCGAAAGAACTCGCCCTCGAGTTCGAAAGAACTCGCCCTCGAGTTCGAAAGAACTCGCCCTCGAGTTCGAAAGAACTCGCCCTCGAGTTCGAAAGAACTCGCCCTCGAGTTCGAAAGAACTCGCCCTCGAGTTCACTGTGACTTCATCGGACTCAACAACACAAGGGCTTAGGTGTTTTACATTGAAGACGTCAGAGGTCTTCAAATGGCTAGGGAGGCGCAACCTGTAAGCATTATCATTGATCTTCTGCAGTACTTCACAAGGTCCAATCTTCCGCTCCTTTAGCTTATTGTATTCCCCAGCTGGAAAACGATCACGAGTTAATACTGTCCAAACAAAATCACCAACATCAAACAACACCTGGTGTCGATGACTATTGCCCGAACTTTGTACTTAGTATTACTATCCTGTATGGAGAGCTTCACCTGCTCATGGATACCTCGAAGATGTTCAGTCATCTCATCAGCTTTGTTATTGAAGCGACCCACACGTGGAATTGGAGCTAAATCAAGTACTCCGGATGGGTTCCGACCATAGACAATTTCAAAAGGACTCAGTCCGGTGGTTCTATTCCTCGACCGGTTATAAGCAAACTCTGCTTGAGGTAATGCCAAATCCCACAGCTTCGGTTTAGTCCCAGCTAAGCTTCTCAAAAGATTTCCCAAACTCCGATTCACCACCTCAGTCTGACCATCTATTTGGGGATGGTATGCGCTGCTAAAATTCAATTTCGTTCCAAGTTTCTTCCACAAACTCCTCCAGAAATGACTCATAAACTTAGTGTCACGGTCAGAAGTAATTAACTGTGGAACACCATGTAAACGCACAATCTCTTTGAAATAAAGATGAGCAATCCGAGTAGCATCCATTGTCTTCCGGCAAGCCACAAAATGAGCCATCTTTGAAAATCTGTCAACCACAACAAGAATGGAATCCATCGCCCGCTGTGTACGAGGGAAGCTCAAGACAAAATCCATACTGACATCAAACCAAGGAGCTTCAGGTACGGGTAATGGTGTGTACAATCCAGCATTAGTAAGAACCCCTTTAGACCGCTAACATACATAACACCGCTCCACATAATGCGCCACATCAATGCTCAACTTCGGCCAGTAACAATCAGAAGAGACCAATGCCAATGTCTTGTCTCGCCCAAAATGTCCTTCATTATGAAGTTCACTAATAATCTGCTGCCTTAGTGAACAATCCGGAATGCATAACTGCAATCCACGAAACAGGTAACCATTATGTAAAACAAAATCATGTCGGTGATTATCTGTTACCTCCCGAATTATCTTCCCAAATGAAGGATCCGCAGCATACATATCAGGAAATGTCTCAAATCCGACAATCTTGGTGCTCATGGTGGTGAGGAGTAATGTGCGACGGCTCAATGCATTTGCTACTCGATTCAAACTCCCTGCTTGATGCCTGAGTGTGAAAGTAAACTCCTGCAAGTACGCCACCCACTTTGCATGTCGCCTACTTAGCTTATGCTGACCATTGATGTACTTCAAAGCCTCATGATCAGTAACAAGGATGAACTCCCTCTGTACCAGGTAATGGCGCTAATGCTTCAGAGTCTGAACTATGGCATAGAACTCCAGGTCATAAGTGGAATAATTTTTCTTTGATCTCGATAGCTTCTCACTAAAAAAGGCTACTGGACGTCCCTCCTGACTCAGAACACCACCAATACCAACTCCAGATGCATCACAATTTACCTCAAACACCTTTTCAAATTTCAGAAGTGCTAAGACTGGGGCCTTCGTCATCTGCTGCTTAACCAACTGAAAGCTAGCCTCTGCCTCCTCAGTCCACTGAAAATCACGCCCTTTTAGGCACTCTGAGCAATCAAGGTACTGAAGTTTCTGATGAATCGACGATAGAAGGATGCCAATCCATGGAAACTCCTGACATCGTGCAAAATTTTTGGTTTCGGCCAATTCAAAATTGCATCAATTTTGGATTGATCTGCATGAACACCATCAGTAGACACAACAAAACCCAAAAAAGTTACAGAAGTTGTGAAGAAAGAACACTTATTCTGATTGATGAATAAGCGCTTCGTCCTCATTACATCAAAGACAGCACGAAGATGATTAAAATGTGACTACCATGTCAGACTATAAATAAGTATGTCATCAAAATAAACTACCACAAACTTCCCCATGAAAGGCCGTAAAACCTGATGCATAAACCTCATAAAAGTGCTGGGTGCGTTGGATAGTCCAAAGGGCATGACCATCCACTCGTACAACCCATGTTGTGTCTTGAACGCGGTCTTCCACTCATCTCCAGGCCTGATTCTGATCTAGTGGTATCCACTTTTAAGGTCAATTTTTGAGAAGACCTTAGAATCGGACAATTGATCCAACATGTCGTCCAGACGGGAATTGCAAACATGTACTTCACTGTAATCCTGTTAATTACCCTGCTGTCAACACACATACGCCATGACCCATCTTTCTTCAGCACTAGTAGAGCAGGAACTGCACAAGGACTCATATTCTCACGAATGTAGCCCCTTTCCAATAATTCTACCACTTGTCGCTGTAACTCTTCAGCTTCCTTGGGACTGAGGTGATATGCTGGTCGGTTTGATAGACTCAACCCCGGAATGAGGTATATCTGATGTTGAATGTCCCTCATAGGTGGTAGTCCTGGAGGAAGATCCTCCGGCATCAAGTCAGAAAACTCCATCAGTAGTTGCTGCACTTCTGCTAGAAATTCTGAATCCACATTCGCTGTACTATTTTCATGAGGCATTAACGCATAAACTATTTTTTCGCGCCCAACCTCAACTAAGAACCTGGACATAGAAAGTAGATTGGGGTTATTAACTACCGGGGCAGGGATGTTTCCTTCCCTGCGAGGCACCTTAACAATTCTCTTCCCTTTGATGCTAAGAGAATAAGTATTCTTCCACCCATCATGGATAACACTGCGATCATACTGCCAAGGTTGTCCCAACAAAACATGACACGCGTCCATTGATACCACATCACACCAAGCATTATCAAAATATTTTTTTCCAATCGAGAAAGACACTAAGCATCATTTTTCTACCGTTACCTCACTGCCTTTATTCAGCCAAGACAACTTGTATAGTTTGGGATGACGATCCATCTTCAGTTGCAGTTTCTCGATAGCCTCCTCAGACACTACATTCTCACAATTGCCACTATCAATTATCAGCTTACAGACTTTATCAGCAACTGTGCAGGTTGTGTGGAAAACGTTGGTCCTCAACCAATCATCCCCTGAGTCGCCCTTGGGAGTCAGCAGGCTCTTTCGAACGACCAGGGTCTCCTGACCATCTCCATATAGCACGTCCTCATCTTCACCCTCATCATACACGGGTTCCCCAACTTCCTCGAACTCCTCTATCATATCCTCCTCAATCAGAAGATTTTTATTCTTCTGACCAGTAGGCTTCCTGCCATCAGTCACCCTATGCCCCTGCTCACCACACCTAAAGCACTTAATACTTGAGCTGGAACTATCCCGCTGTGGCTGATAAGCCGGATGAGATTCTTGAGGGCGAACTGGCTGACTTTCTTCAACTCTAACTACTGGCCTCCTACTCTGCTGTTTCTCTACTGCAAGTGCTCACTGATATGCCTTAGAAACTGTCCACAATGAATGAAGGTTGAGAAGATCCTGCAGGGGCTGCCTTAATCCCCCCAAATATCGTGCTACCACTTGCTCCTCTGTCTCAGATAAATCATTCCGAGCCACCAACTGATAGAATTCTTCAGTATAATCATTGACTGATCTTGCGCCTTGCCTTAGTGAATGAAGCCTCTGAAACAAGGTTTAAGTATAGCCAAAAGTGAGGAAGTGCCCTTTCATCTTCTTCTTCATCTTCTCCCAGTTAGTAATTTTGGATTTTCCCTGTCGCTCCCGTGAACGCTTCAACTGTTCCCACCATGTAGATGCCCTACCTTTGAGTTTAATGGCGACCAGTTTCA